GTTTACTCACCGGCTCATACAATCTGCCATCTTGGTGCTTAAGTGTAGCAGTCCACACCAGGTGGCGCACAGGGAGACCTCAAGTAGCGTCCTCTCTCCCCAGAAGTCGAGAGACGAATGGACATCTAGCATTGCATCAGAGGGCAATGGTGGTCAACTCGCCTGTCTATCAAGGTATGGGGGGTGGTGGAGGTGTTCCCCTTACGGGTACAGAACATTTTGGAAATCCAGCGGAGGGCGTTAAAGTTTGTGTGGGATTTTGGGAGGGTGTGGTTATGTAAGGAGGTAGTTATGATGGATGTTCAACGAGGGGGGTTTAGGTTTGTTGGCGTTGGGTATATTAGGGAAAGGGGTGTGTGGGGCATAAGAGAAGGAAGGGTTATGGAGAAGGCTCGTAGATGGTGGAGTGGCAAGGACTTGCGGGTCTGTGACGATATGTTGAGGGTTTTATTGACAGTGCAACAGGTGGCTAACCTAAAAGTAAAAAGGTTGGTGCAGGCTGTGGGAGGGCAGGGAGTCCTGCAAAGGAGCTGCCGTGTACCCAACGTATGATTGGCAGGTCATTTGGAGGGAATTTAGTAAGCTTAGAATACCAGCTAGAGTAAGGGAATTAGTGTATCATTTTATCATGGGGATTCTGGCCTCCAAGGAGGTGTTGAGACGCATGGGGGTTCCTGGACGAGGCATCTTGCCTGCATTGTGGTGATGTTGAAATGGCGTTTCATGCTGTATTTTTTTGTCCCTTCTTGGAGGGGGTGAGATTATGGATGAGGGGGGTTATCAGACTTTTGGGCGGTCATTTGTCGCTTTTAAGGGCTTTAGTGTTAGATGTACGTGGTGTGCCAAAGGTTGTGGGAAGGGCTATAATATATGCCATAGTAGACTATTTAGATATTTCTTGGGAGATGCGGGAGTTAAGGAGAGATTTGAGGGTAAAAGCGGGGGTCCCTGAGGGTGGGCAAAGAGTTTGTCTCCTTTTCAGGGTATGGAACGAGGTGGGGGAATTTTTCTGTCTACTAGTGTATTTGAGGTGTGTAAGATGTGGGTTTTTCCAGGTTTTGTCTGGTTTGTAAGGTTGTATTATGGGCATGGTTTGCCTTTGAGCAACACGAAGGATGCTTCTAAGAAATATATTGACAACAATCATGTTACAAAGAACGTTTTTTTTTCTTTTTTTTTTGAGGCACCCTGGTCGTTTAACCCTAATGGTTATGTTCCCTGTGTTCGGAATACCATTTATAACCAGAATAATAAGCCCTTGGGATCTCGGTTTTAAGAGCCTAGCTGTGTCAATATAGACTCAAGTCACCAGTTTCTGCGGTACATGTAGTTTTTGGGCTTAGCAGGATAAAGTGGCCCTTTTAATATATACTTGGTGTGTATTACGATGGTTTGATGCCATGTGCAGGGGGAAGGATTGCCAAGATGATAGGATCACTGCCTTCTATTATGTATTGGCCATTGATGTTTTATTTTAAAATTTACTTTGATGAGGTGTGTTCCTTTGTAACCCCATGTGTTAATATTAATTTTTTGTTGCATTGTATACATTGGACTTTGGGGACTTTTGTATTATGCACTTTCAATGAACTCCGTTCTTGGGGACCTAGGATAAACGGGGGGGGGAGGGTTAAGGGGTTTATATTTTTTTCTCGCATATTTCATGATTTCAGTGTGAAGGTACTGTATTAGATTTTGTTTGCCATGGCTGTGCAATGTTACCCTTCAGTTACATGTTTTAAGTTTATAGATGGAGGAGAGTGGTTATGTAGCACAAGAGAATTTGTTTTTTAAAATTAGTGGGTTAAAGTTGGTTGTGTGTATACTCATTAACATCTGCTGGTTGTCAAGTGATGTAAGAATTTAATTGTATGTATAGGTCTAGTTTTTATTCCATGTTTTATTTGTTACGTATGTTGAAAACTTGACGTACCAGTAATGCACTGGAGATTTGGTTTTTACCGTTACAGGGTATTGTTCCGTTTTTTTATGTAAAATTATTAGGTTTTTTTGTTTATATATATGTGGGATGTGTTAAATTATGAAAGGGTATCGGTCTCATACCCCTATGATGTGGAAGATATGTCTGTTATACATGTATAAGATTTTTGTTATGAGAGCATGTATATTACCATTGTATGCTACATGTATGGAAATAAATGGTATACAATACTGACACAATGAAAATATAAGCACATATGCAGTATAATGTGATCCTTTATTGACAATGTTTCGCCCACACAGTGGGCTTTTTCAAGTCACAAACAGATCTACCTAGGTGGAAGGTACGCGAGTATTTATAGTCAGGTTCAGAATACTGGGTCAGGTGGAGAATGCTGCATCTGATGATCTACCGAGTGGGGTTATAGAGTCTAGAATCTTGGGTAGCTTGGAAGGGAGATTGGATAAGTTTGTGAGCAGACCTTCTGCAGTGTTCTTCCATTCCTATGTTCTTATGTGGGATAACGATGAAGAAGTTTCTTGGCAAGTGGTTCAGCTATGTTATAGAAGCCATTGTGCTGGCTGAAATTGTCGGATATAGAGATAAGTGATGATTCCAGGATTCTTCGGTATTGAGTGTTGTCTTCTCTGGCGATAAGTCTTGAGTTTCTGTAGTTTATTAAATGGTTGTGTGCATTATGGTGTTGTACACAGGCATTTCTTGTATCGTCAGACCTGCTTGCGTATTGGTGTTTTGAAATACGTGTTTGGAGGTCTCTTGTTGTTTTGCCCACGTATAATTTGCTGCAGTCATTACAAGAGATTATGTATACCACTGCAGAGGATGGAAGCTTGTCCTGTCTATTACTGTAATGTCCTTGATGGTCGTTGTTTTGGAGATAGATACTTGGAATGAAGTATTGGAAAAGATGTTGGAAACGTGTTTGGCAATGGGGTTGGTGGGGAGGACTATGTATCTCTTCTCGGCAGTGTCTTCTCTGGGTGTGTTGAAGATGTTTAATGCCCTTCGTCTGCAGTCTCTGATGAAGTGATGAGGATAGTGAAGTTTGGAAAATACTTGTTCAATTATAGTGCATTTTTCCTCAAGGAACTCATTGCTGCAGATTCTGAGTGCACGCAGGAAAAAGCCTATAATTACACCACGTTTAGTTTTGGTGTCATGGTGAGAGTAGAAGTGGAGAAGATCGTTTTGGTTGGTGGGTGTATATCTGTTTGTGACTTGAGAAAGCCCACTGTGTGAGCGAAACGTTGTCAATAAAGGATTACATTATACTGCACATGTGTTTATATTTTCATGCTACATGTATGTACCCTTCTGTTCTTTTAAATAAAATATATAAAAAATCTCCAAACTTAAATTTTATTTACTAGGTAAAGAATTCATCTTAGAAATGGATCATAAATCTTTGATATACCTAGAGACTTATAAGGGAACCAACAGTCGTCTCTTGAGGTGGACATTGGCTCTCCAAGCTTTCAAGTTTCATATAGTGTATATCAATAGTTCATCCAACTATTGACTGGTTAACTCGTGATGGTCAGTAGAATATTGGTAACTTAAAGTTTTTGTTTACAGTAACTTTTTCCTTATATTCTTTGACTATAAGTCTTGGTAATGGGTAGTGCGAGGGAAAAGTTCATTAGGTAGGAGTGGAAGAATGAATTAATGGTGGTGGCAGTTTTGTTGGTGTTGGCAGTCTGTTCGTTCAGTTAGGGTGGGTGCATAGTTCGCGCTACCCCCCCCCCCCTTCCTTTTGCACCAGGTGGGAGTGACGAGTGTGTCTCCAACCTGTGGTCAGTCACTTAACTTGCTGCTCTCATCAAATTTGTATTTGTTCCACTCCTGTTTAAATTATTATACATTTTGGATTAAGTTGGTTTCAATAAGAGCTTCAGACTCTAATTTATTCCTGCCTTGATTGTACTACGTAGTGTAATGTAATCTTTTAATCCTCACCATTTCTTTTAAAGGCTGTACGCCTATCCTGTGAGTGATTTCTAGACTGGTGAGTAACTTTGTGTTTTCTTTTTAGCCTTCACTATCGACTCGGGTCATTCGACAATGGCGAGATATAGAAGGGCAGCCTAGATCTTTACAAGATCAGAGACGCCACTCTGACATCTCTACCTACACTGGTTTCCCTTCCACACGTAGCCGACCACCCAGTCAGCTACACACCATTCAAGCAGATTTCTCTCAGTTATAACTCTGGATCTGTACTAGCGACTCGTCTGCTTCACAAGTGTTGTTTTGGTCAGAGGATCACAGTCAACCTCTGTTCTTCAGAATCTCTAATCGTACTGGAGACACAGTCGCGTCAATCTGTGACCCCGGCCCCCCATCATCAACAACAGCTCGGCGTTCCAAACCAGGATTCAGAGCTACGTGCCAAGAACGTCGGCACGGCACTGTTCTCCACTACGTCATTGTGTACACATTAGCTTAAGAACAATAATAACACATGCATCTTAATTCACTACAAGTACATGTACAAGGTAAACAGTCCTAGCTGACATCAATGACATATTACTATATAGAAGCCGCTTGTTATGCTGAGCATTTCGGGCATATTAGGTCAGTTTTGTCCCAGGATGCGACCCACGCTAGTCGACTAACACCCAAGTGCCTATTTTAAAATGATGGGTAAACAGGGACAGAGACAGTAGCTGTCTTATGGAAACACGTCCCTAATGTTTTTCAGCCATACTGAGGAGATTCGAACCCCGGACCTCAGTGTGTGAGCTGAGTGCGCTCGCAATCGAGCTTTGAATCACTAGTTATTCATGTATTTCATTTTTCATTTACATTTACGTTTTTTATATTCTTTTACTTACTGGTAAAATTGTTTATCTAATAATGTTAATATTGATTTTTCAATCTTTTTATTTCCATGAGGAGGAGACAGCCTTATCAAATACTTTTTGAGGGACTGATAGGGCTCGGTGAACCTTCACAGTGTTGGTATCATAATTTTACAACGGTAGCTAGAATTTTCTTTTATTCTAGGACTAACCTTATTAATTGTTTAGAATTAATGCTTTGATGTTTATTATTTCCACAGTTTGACTTAACATGTGGAAAAGCTTGGCTTCGTCCTCTTGCTGGTTCAATATACATGACTGGAATGTTAGTGGGAGCCATTGTTATTGGTGATTTAGCTGATCGCTTCGGAAGAAAAAAGGGAATCTTGATGTCAGCACTTATACAGGCTGTTGGTGGAGTTATAAGCGCATTGTCCCCTGATTACTACATCTTCCTGTTGATGAAGTTCTTTATCGGTGCTGGAAGCAGTGGCCTCATTCTGGTCATATATGTCTTGGGTAAGTATATATTGTATTTTACTGGCAAACAAATAACAGAAAGGAATGGGGCTTGAATCCATGGGAAGTGAGTGCTTAAACTCGTGCTCTGGCCTCTGATTTTTAGGACTCACTTGCAACATATTCAAGCCAATTCTGTGGTTTTTAACTTAAATTTTCAATATTTGTGAAGTGCATAATCTTATTACAGTATTACTTGCTTTGATAATTAAACGAAAGTAAGTTCATTATTCACAGGTCCGCATACAGAAAGTCATATTGCATTAGATTTTAATGAGTATTTATTGTCTATGGTTTTAGCCATTTCCCACTAACAGAACAGTTATGCAAAGCAATTTTGTTTTATTGAGTAGTAGCAAACAAACTTGAGTCTCACTTTGTGATCTCTGTTAAAGGATGGCTTCCACTCCTTGTTCACTAACGTCGATGTGTGTGATAAGTAGTAAATTCAACAGTGGGCCAACAAAAATTTTCGCTTTTATAAATGCATTATCACATCACTTCATCTACTGGAAAAGAATTCTAAAGCTTGATAGCCTGGTCAATGAAGCTGAAACATGGAAAAAGACAGAACAGAACCTACAGTAATAACCAGCCATACTCAGGAACCCAAACATCATTCAAAGGTAATGGCTGCTGCTTTGGCCTCAGTAAGTACCGCCTTGCCCTGACCCAATACAAATTCTGTCTGAACTCACATATTGCAAAGTTCACTGAAAATGTGGTAGCTAACTAAATAAAATAATTGTAATCTACACACATACTCCTTCCAGCTATCACTGTGGGCAACAATATCATTCAGGAATGATTCAACACCATCCATGTCACATACAACTCAATGCATAATGTGTTGAAAGATATTTGGCACATCGTGTTTTCCAAAATACAAAATATTGTATATATAAAAACTATCCTGAGTAACGAATGCTGAGATCGACTTAGCATGAGTTGTCAGAGGCGCCTGGTAAGGGATACGATCAGTCCATTAAATGTACTGTACATGTCATTAATTTCATTAATACTGGGAAGAGGATACACTATAAGCAGCTGGGTATCCTCTGACAGTCTGTGCACATATTATAAGTGCCATCTTCCACTTGGAGGATGTTGTGAGGGGTCAATGCCCCCACAAAATTTAATGCAATCCCCTGTTCTGAAGATTAAAAAAAATCTACCTGAATTTAAATTTGAAATAAGACTAAAATTAGTGAAATCTGATACGTGCTTAAGTATAAATTAAGTTTTGAAGTTGACATCAGTGACTGTCATATGGCAAAACGCACTCTTGCCATGTTTGTTACGCAGAAATGTAGGATACCTGGGGGCTAGTGCCTTGTCTAAGGGCAAAGGTAAAAGTTACACACATCTCAAGCACAAACAGGCCACCCAGGGCTATCCTAGTCAAAACAGAAAGCGCTAAACCAGTATGTGTTACTTCAATGGGTTGGTTAACAGAGGGTTAGGCAAAAATCCCAGTTAGGAAAATATATCTATTTATTCAACATAACACTATATACACACTCTAGAAACACCTTAATCCTAAACGCCCAGATGAGGGTACACAAGAAACAGCTGGCTGGAGGTCCAGCCACCATAACCATTAGGCCTAGTCAGCGCCAGGCCGTCACTACTCCACTACAAACCCCATTTCTTATTTCCTCACTCCTCCCACAGCATCCTGACCATGTCAGAGCCTGGGTGAACATACAGGTAAGCCATAGAAGAGCCTATGGCTTGGGTTAGCTAAACAAAAGGAGTACACAACTACAAACTTAGCTTAAATACACAGGATCTCCGACGCCAGCCTCCACACCATGCTGACTCCACATGACTGCTTACCCCGCGTACCCAAACACCCTTGGAAAATAAATCCCTAGCAGGATTTCTTTATAATTACAGTTAGAGTACTTTACATTGCTCTCAAATGCACATTATGAATTATAAAATTATTCTCTACAATTATAACATTCATACTATTATGGCACACTTCTCCACTATATGTACATTACGATGTCATGCAGAACCCTGCATAATACCCCCACCCCCAGACCATAGGTCTCACTCTGCTAGCCGGGTCCCTATGGACACCGCTAGACAAAAGGAAAAAGAAAGAAAATAAACCACCCACATTAAGGTCTGAGGCAATGGGCAAAATGAATGATAACTGGGGAATGACCACCATACATTCACAGTCTTTTGGTACTACAAATATCCAATATTAACAAACTGAGGTACTAGATTGCAGACTTGTGAAACTCGCCAAACATAAAAGTGATCAAGTTCTATGTCAAACGAGCCCACAGTCACACTCTTAGACAACTGTGTTAGGAAAACGCACCATCACAACACAGCGCTGGCCAGGCACTGGCGTTGATGCATTTTACCTAAATTACATCAAGCAAACTTATAAACGAGCAAGTTAACTTTGTACAAAAGTGCCCCTGAGGAATGTCATTTTATGAAGTAACACCAAAGTTCAGTATGTTGCAAGGCAGACCAAACTGTATGTGCCACCAAAAAAAAACTTTTAAACAGTAAGTACATTTTCCAGGAGTTCAAAGAAAAGGAAAACAGATTTTACATGTTAAATTCTACTTACAAAGCAACATCACATTATCACTCCCATCTCACAGCAATTTTTAGTAAACAAAACTGGTTCCCCATGACTCACCTCTGCGAGAATCAGGAGAGCACAGGAGAGGGAAAAATATCAGGCCCCAAAAACAGCAGGTGAATAGTCACATAAGGGGTTGGTGGGACTGTGGCCGTAAAACTCTGGAGTCATCATTGAAGACCCTCAAAAGGTGGACTTCCCAGGCCAACACCTACATGTCATTCCAAGGACCCTGGAGTCACCCCAGCGGTGATCCAAAAAGAAGAAAAAAAAATTTAAAGGTCCTGGAGAACCAAAACACCTTGGATCAAGAGTCATGACCCAAACAGTGGGGGGCATCACCGCCAGCCCCACATTCACTAAAACATTAGGTCCAACAGTCCCTATACCAACGTAAAATGGAGGCGAGGCATCCCAGCCAACATCTAAAAAACGTACCATACCTTACCTAGGCATGGCACTTGATGTGACTACCCCCAAAACACACACAAAACACAGGAATCTTGATACCTCCAGCTCCAGCTCAACCTGCCCTTCTCCCTTGGGTGGTCCAGGGTTCCATCTACTCGTCTACCGCAAATCACTGCAAAATAAGAATTGATAAGTGATCTATACACTACATCGTGCACTTTAAACACGAGACAAGGCACCAGCAACCACATTCTCCGCTCCCTTCACATAATGAATCACAAGATTAAGAGGTTGGAGAAACAAGGCCCACCTCGTAAGTCTCTGATTGTGGTTCCTCATTAAGTGAAGGAAATGTAAAGGATTATGGTCACTATACACAGTTATAGGGTGAACTGATGATGATATGTACACCTCAAAATGTTGCACTGCCAACACTAATGCAAGAGCCTCCTTTTCTATGGTGGCATATGGTGTTTCTTCAGTTTTGCTGAAAAGTAGCTGACTGGCAATAATTGTCCCGCTACTTCTTGCAGCAACACAGCCCCAACACCAGTATCAGTGGCATCTACTTGTAGAGAAAATGACAATGTGAAATTAGGACTAGCCAGCACAGGAGCACTTGTAAGTAAAGCTTTTACATGTTCAAATGCCCTCTGACACTTCATATCCCACACAAATGTACGCTTGGGGCTAGTCAGGTCAGTGAGTGGAGAGATCACCTTTGACAAATTTGGACAGAACTTTCTATAAAATGTTACCATACCCACAAAACGCATAACCTCCTTCCGGGTCTTTGGTACAGGATAATTGTCTATAGCCTCCACCTTTGCATTCACTGGGGCCACCTTCCCCTGGCCAATAACATGTCCTAGAAAAGTTACCTGGGCTTGCCCGAAAACACTCTTTGCCAAATTAACTGTGAGCTGAGCACCAGCGAGCCTAGAGAAAAGCTCTCAAAGCTGCCTCACATGCTCTGTCCAACAGTCGCTAAAAATTACCAGGTCATCAATATAACACCTCACGCCCTTTAGGCCACGTATAACTTCCTGCATTCTGCGTTGAAAACAGGAGGGTGCATTACGAAGCCAAAAGGGGAGAACTTTGTACTTAGAAAGCCCATCTGGCATTACAAAAGCAGAGATGTCACCGGCATGTGAGGTTAAAGGTATCTGGTAATAACCCTTTAACAGGTCTAACTTACTTACATATTTAGCTCCCCCCACTGCATCAATGACATCATCCATTCTGGGAAGAGGAAAACAATCGGCCTTAGTTATTAAATTAACCTTACGGTAGTCAGTGCACATCCTCATGGTGCCACCTGGTTTGGGAACCATCAGACAGGGTTATGTCTACTCACTCTCGCTCGGTATTATTAAATCAATGTCAAGTAGAAATTTCACCTCCTTCTCCATACTTTTTCTCTTTTGTGGGTTCATTCTGTAAGGGACCTGCCGAATTGGTTCAGCTTTCCTTACATCTATATCATGGGGCTTTAGCTTGCTTACACGAGGGATATCCCCAAACAAATCCTCAAAATTCCAGAGAAGCTGAACTATCTCAGCAACCCTTTCCTTTCATACATTGTAAAGGATCTTTTAACAATACCCTGTTACTAAGGTGTACATCTGTGGCCCCCTGCGCATCAGTGACCGCCCCTGGGTCACCTACTATATTTACACATGCAACACCTCTTTGGTGGTACCTTTTCAGCCTGTTTATATGTACCACCCATTCAGACTTCCGTCGCCCAGGTGTGTGAATTCTGTAATTTTGATCTGTGACCTTTTCCACTACCTTGTACGGCCCACTGAACTTTGCTTTTAAGGCATTACTAGGCACCGGCTCCAATGCTAGTACCTCCTCTCCCACTTCAAAGGTACGAAGCACGGCCTTGTGGTCAAATTGTTTCTTCATCTTGGTTTGGCTGATGTGCAGGTTCTCTGCCGCCAGACGCTTTATGTGAGCCAAACGG